AAAAATGGGCACAGGACATTTCACCAAGGAAGACATTCAGGTGTCCAACCATCATATGAAGAAATGTGCACTCTTTGGATATCTTGAAGGTGGGGCACAGTGCATTTGAAGCTTGAGATAAAAAGTGTTATTGTGGAAAACTTGAGACCTGAGGACTCTCAACTGGAGAAAGCTTTGTGTGGAGGAAGCTTCGGGGGATGGCAGAGGTTAACTTGATGAACCCATTGAGTTAGTGATATCTATGGAATAGCTATGTGGAGATGTTGAATCTGTAAATCTCATGAGAAATCTGGGCCACAGGTATACATTTGAGAACCTGATTCCACAATCTGCAGTCAGATGATAGATATCATAGTTCTGTGAAGGGAAGTTGTGCAGCTGTGTTTCTTGGCATGGAGATTCAAACAATGAGTCTCTCCCTCATGAAGAAGTGATTCATACTCATATCTCACATTGTTTCCATTTTAGATCACATCTATGGAGACCAACTTGAAGACCATAGAGGAAGAGAATAAACTTATTGAACAGAACAATGAGAGCTTGTTGAAGGAGCTGGCTGGCCTGAGCCAAGCCCTCATCTCTAGCCTTGCTGACATCCAACTCCCACAGATGGTGAGTCCAAGGCAAAACTGTGGTGTCTCTCCACTGTGCTTGACTTGCCACTGTGCACCCGTTGGTAGGGGTACATTTAGAATTGCTTATTTTCAAGAAGGTGGTCAGAAGTGACAGTTACTATGGCTTATCATTTTCTAGCTGGCAATACCTCCCTGTGAATATGATATGTATGCACAGTTTACTTAGATAATACTAAGGCAAAGAATTTTTATATCATAGTAATCATTTAGAGTCCTGATGTGGCACTGCAAGATAAGCACTGGACCTCAAGGTCAGTTTGAACTACTAGGTCCACCATTTAAACCCACTAGCTGCTCCTTGGAAACCCTATAGAGGGTTGCTATGAGTCAGAACTGACTCAAAGACACTTAACAAGGAGTCATTTAGGAAAGAGGGTTTATTTGGAGCTTGTTTCATAATATTGTTTGAAAGTTGGGGGCTAACGCTCCTTCACTAAAAGTATATTCAAATTGAACATTTTATGACTTACAAAATCTGAGACCTAGTCATTCTCATTATTCACCCAATTTAAGAGCAACAACAACAAATGTTTAATTCCCATGAGAACTGAAGGACATATTTCAGTTCTCATATAGAATTGATGTAGAATAAAAAGCACAGAAGAAAAATCTAAATGTATTTTCTAGAAATAGCAAGCATTTAGAATTTTGGAAAATTCATTCCCTTTCCATTTTCATACATATAAATAACCATTTGGAAGTGAAGTTACACTATTGTTGTTGTTAAGTGCCGTCGAGTCGGTTCAGACCCATAGTGACCCTGTACAGGGTTTCCGAGGCTGTAAACCTTTAT